ACATAACAAATATTTACAGAACATTCTACCCAAGAATTGCAGAATATACATTCTTCTCATCCAACGTGAAACATTCTCCAGGATAAACCATGTGATAGGCTTAAAACAAGTCTCAATATGTTTTTAAAAGTCAAGTTGTTTCATAGTTCTGCATGGCTGGGGAGGCCTCAGGAAACTTATAATCATGGCAGATGGTGAAGGTGAACCAAGTTTGGACCTTCTCATATGGTGGCAGGAGAGAGCAGAGAGCAAAAGGGAAAGAGCCCCTTGTAAAACCATCAGATCTTGTGGGAACTCACTCACTATCATGAGAACAGCATGGAGGAAACTGCGCCCATGATCCAATCACCTCCCACCAGGTCTCTCTGTAGACACATGGGGATTATAAACCAAGATTATGGAGATTACACTTCAAGATGAGATTTGGGTGGAGACACAGCCAAACCATATCATTCTGTCCCTGGTTCCTCCCAAATCTCATGTCCTCACATTTCAAAATACAATCATGCCTTTTCAACAATCCCCCAGTGTGTTAACTCATTCCAGCATTAACCCAAAAGTCCAAGTCCAAAGTCTAATCTGAGACAAGGCAAATCCCTTCCACCTAGGAGCCTGTAAAATCAAAAGCAAGTTAGTTACGTCCAAGATACAATGGGGGTACAGGCATTGGATAAATGCTCTTTTTTCCAAATGGGAGAAATTGGCCAAAACAAAGGGGCTATACGCCCCAGGCAAATCTGAAACCCAGCAGGGTAGCCATTAAATTTTAAAGTTCCAAAATGATTTCCTTTGACTCCCTGTCTCACATCTGGGTCATACTGATGCAAGAGGTGGGCTCCCATGGTCTTGGGCAGCACTACCCCTGTGGTTTTGCAGGTTACAGCCCTCCTCTAAGCAGCTTTCACAAACTGTGGTTGAGTGTCTGCAGCTTTTCCAGGCGTCTGGTGCAAGCTGTGGATGGATCTACCATTCTGTGGTCTGGAGGAGAGTGGCTCTCTTCTCACAGCTCCACTAGGGAGCACCCCAGTAGGGACTCTTTATGAGGGCTCCAGTCCCACATTTCCCTTCTGCACTGCCCTACCAGAGGTTCTCCATGAGGGCTCTACTCCTGCAGCAAACTTCTGACTGGACATCCAGGCATTTCCATTACATCCTCTGAAGTCTAGGTAGAGGTTCCCAAACCTCAGTTCTTGACTTCTCTGCACTCACAGGCCCAACACCATGTGGAAGCCACCAAAGCATGAGCTGAAGCCATGGCCCGAGCTGTACCTTGGCCCCTTTTAGCCATGACTGGAACTGAAATGGCTGGGATGCAGGGTGCCATGTCTCAAGGCTGCACAGAGTAGCAGGGCCCCTGGGCCTGGCCCATCAAACTATTTTTCCTTCTAGGCCTCCAGGCCTGTGATGAAAGGGGCTGCTTGCAAGATCTCTGACATGCCCTGGAGACATTTTCCCCATTGTCTCGGCTCCTCATTACTTATGCAGATTTCTGCTGCAGGCTTGAATTTCTACCCCAGAAAATGGGTTTTTCTTTTCTATCACATCATCAGGCTGCAAATTTTCCAAACTTCTGTGCTCTACTTCCCTTTTAAATGTAAGTTCCAATTTCAAACCATCTATTTGTGAATCCATAAAACTGAATGCTCTTAAGAGCACCCATGTCACGTCTTGAACACTTTACTGCTTAGAAATTTATTCCACCAGATACCCTATCATCTCTTTCAAGTTCAAAGTTTCACAGATCTCTAGGGTGGGGGCAAAATGCCACCAGTCCCTTTGCTAAAGCATAGCAAGAGTGACCTTTGCTCCAGTTCCCAATGAGCTTCTCATGTTCATCTGAGATCACTTCAGCCAGGGCTTCATTGTCCACATCACTAACAGCATTTTGGCCAAAACCATTCAACAAGTGTCTAGGAAGTTCCAGACTTTCCCACATCTTCTTATCTTCTTTTGAGCCCTCCAAACTATTCCAACCTCTGCCCATTACCCAGTTCCAAAGTCACTTCCACATTTCCAAGTATCTTTATATCAGTGCCCCACTACCTCAGTGCCAGTTAACTGTGTTAGTTCATTTTCACACTGCTATAAAGAAACACCCAAGACTGGGTAATTTATAAAGGAAAGAGGTGTATTGACTCACAGTTCCATGTGGCTGGGGAGGCCTCAGGAAATTTACAATCATGGTAGAAGGTGAAGGTGAATGTGAAGCAAGCCTGGACCTTCTCATGCGGTGGCAGGGGAGAGCAGAGTGAGAGTGAAGAAGGAAGGGCCCCTTATAAAACCATCAGATATTGTGAGAACTCACTCACTATCACCAGAACAGCATGGGGGAAACTGCCCCCATGATCCAGTCACCTCCCACCAGGTGTCTCCCTAGATACATGGGGATTATGAGGATTATAATTCATGATGAGATTTGGGTGAGGACACAGCCAAACCATATCAGTAAAGTCTTAGGTTACAAAATCAGTGTGCACAAATCAGTGCACTACTATACACAAACAGTGATCAACCTGAGAATCAAACCAAGAACTCAACCTCTTTTAAAATAGCTGTAAAATAATTAATAATAATAAATTATTTAGGAATATACTTAGCCAAGAAGATAAAAGATCCCTACAGGGAGAACTACAAAACACTGTTGAAAGAAATCATACATGACACAAATGGAAATACATCTGCTGCTCATGGATTGGAAGAATCAATATTATGAAAAAGACCTAACTGCCCAAAGCAGTCTACAGATTCAGTCCTTCTCCTATCAAAATACCAACATCATTTTTCACAAAATTAGAAAAAAATCCTAAAAGTCATATAGAACCAAAAAAGAGCATATGTAAATACATGTGTGTGCACACATGTGTGCTTGCATGTGTGTGTATATGTGTGTGTATGTGATACTGAGACAAAGTTTTATCACTTAAAGGACTAAGATTTAGGTACTTCATTAATTTACTTACATGAACACCTAATTCCTTAATAATGTGAGATAATGGTTCTCTAATATCGCAGACCTGTTTTTCACAAATTTTACGTATTGAAAATATAAAAATCTGTTAAAGGAAGAACATTTTTCTTCTAAGTAGCTTCTTTCTCTGAGTTCATTCTGTTACTACAATACAATATTTATAAACTTATTGGCAGTTTGCCCCAGTAAAAGTAGTACAAGATATTTACAGGAATAACTTAAATCAGAATTAAAGTAATGATAATTGTTTGCTTTATATAATATGTTAGTTCTTCTAATCTTAGAGTAACCCACTCCTTTGGGTCATGTATTCTTATTTGTATTTATCTATCTACCTTTATGTCATGTTATTTGCAGTATAGTAGGATAGTTTCTTGGTGTATGTACAGTCTCTGAAGTCTAAATATGTTTTGGAATATCTAGGGACATGAAACTCATGCATAAAAATCAATTATAAAATAGTACATGATTTAGAATCAAATACTAAATTGTGTTGTTTAAATTATGAGTGTTACATAGAAATTTAGAAATGGGAAAGATTAACATGGGCAGAAATAGAGATGATGTTGAAGAACACACAAGTGGAATTGGATCCTACGTAGACATAGTTGGGTGTGTCTTTCTTGGGAAATGTGGTTGTGTGGTATACATTGGCCTTTCAGTGTGGCCATTACTGATGTGTACAGTTCAAAGTTTGTAGTTTCCCTGTTTGTCTTATTCTGTATCCCCGCAGCAATTTGAACAGCACTGAGCATATAACAGATGCATGATCACTACTTGGATTAAAAGTCAATGAAGAAAGTGTATAATAATACATATTATATATAAATGTATATTTTATAGCATAATATTAAAAGCTAGGTTCTTTCATGATATATGACTACAAAGTAACAGGGCTGATTATTAATATACATACCAGAAATTCTTATGTACTGAAGTGAGTGGCATTCACCTTCAAAGTCATCATCATGGAAGCCTGCATACTCTTCTCCATAATACTGTCATTTCTCAAAATATTTTTGGAACTCCTTTTTTGAATTTCCTTCAGAGAGTCTGTGACTCATTCTTTTCAGTATCCTTAGAATCTTTTTCAGCTAAGAGTGAATTTGGTTTTTGGAAGCAGAAGTCACGATAGGGCCAGGGATGGCGAGTAAAAGGATCTGCTGGGACATGCTACTTTGGATGACTATAAGTAATGAGTATTTTTCTTCCTTGACTCATAAAATAACCTTAGACAGTTATCTTTTTAAAACAAAAAGTAAGTTGCAAGTTTTATCATTTTAAAATTAAGCCTTAGCTGGGTGCAGTGGCACATCCCAGCTACTGAGGAGGTCGAAGGAGGAGAATCTCTTGAGCCCAGAAGCTTGAGGCTAGCCTGGGCAACATAGTGGGATCTTGTCTCAAAAAAATAAAAAAGAAGAAGAAGAAGAAGGAGAAGGAGAAACAAAATCTGGATTACTCTTACATAACTGTCCTACTCCAGAATTGATCATGGCTTCCTACTTTTGGGGCCCCACCAGGCCTATTCAGCCTTACTTCCCACCCCCTACCACAGTCATCTTCTTTATTAAGCATTTGGTAAAATGGAGGATAGAATGGTTAATTTAACCTTTATTCAGTCTTGTCATGTTCTTGGGTGATCTCTGCAAGTGTTCATTATTATTGTAGCACTCGGTAGCTGGCAAAGGTGTAAGAAGTTAGAGTGAATATACCTGGAACGTATTCTGAAAATCTGTTTGTTGGCGGGGGTGGATTTGTCTTTGTACCTTTTTACAAATTCTATCAGCATATTTTTCTCATTTGCCCTTTACTAAAGGCAGATGATCCGATTGTTTCATTGCAGATTACTTGAGGTTCTTGCAAGATATGACCTCTGGGTTCTTCAAGGAAGAAATTCCTGTTTTAATTGTTGAACCATACTTCAAAGATGATGTAAAGAATTTGCTGAAATATTTATGTTAAAACTCATTAGACATTAATGTGTTGTGGATAATTTCACTATATTGATATCTTTGTTTGTTTCCATATCTAGTTGAAAAATCTAAGTTTAGAAGAACTACAGATGCGATTAAAAGCACTGGACCCTATGATGGAACGGGAGATAGAAGAACTTCGTCAGAGATACACTGCGAAAAGACAGCCCATTCTGGATGCGATGGATGCAAAAAAAAGAAGGCAGCAAAACTTTTGAATCTAATTTCCTGTCTGTTTTTAACTATTCTGGAGACCAAGAAACCACTAGGAATTGAAGGAATATTTGTATATTTTTAATCCTAAGATTTTGCCCTACAATTAGTCAGAGGTCAAAAACTGACAATGGTACATGCCCAGGTAAATTCCCAAAAGGCAGAATTGACAGTTGTATCTGCTGTGCATTCACTTTCAGATGAGGAGAACAAAAGAAGTGTATTCTCTTGTTCTGTCAGCTGCATACCAGCAATAAAACTGTGTTTTGAAACGGAGGCTGCGTTTAGAGACCTTGAAAATCCAAAGCTATTGTTTAATTGTGCAGCACTGAAGGGCTTTATGTTACAATATCTTTATTCCTATCTAGTATACTAGTCTATTTATTGTATCCCCTTAGGTAAACTTATTTATTTATGCTATTTTGCTTTGTTTTGTTTTTTAAGGACAACATCAGGATAGCTTTGGTGAAGATAGGGTCATATTAATACGATGATAATGTGCAACCAAATTATACTTTCTGCAGGGAGCTATGGGGTACATTCCTTGATTTCCAGGATAGTTTTCCAGTAGGAAAGTAATAATGGCAATAGTTCTCAAATGGGCTAGGCCTTTTTTATATCGAAGCAATAATTCCATTTTTACCCTTTGAAATTTTGTTTAATTTTTTGATTTTTGATGTTTGGTACAAATAGAACTATATATATTTAGGTAAAATAGATCTATCATGTTTAAAACCAAAGAAATCAGTGGAATCCTTGCACAAAAAAGTATAATAAATATTTTTTAAAAAAACTTAATACAAATGTAACTTGTTAATATTGTTTTATGTTTTATGTGTAGATCTAATAGCTGAACTGATTCAAACTGTAATAAGCTCATCAATTTCATTTCTATGAAAATGTGCTCTATTGTCACAGGATGTTTCTGTTGATTTTATTCATTTCCTGGGAATTGGTAAACATCATGTGCCTGATGATAACCCAGTAGCAAAAACATTTGTACTGAGTGGTACAAGCCTTGGGGACTGAAAAAAATAAAAAAAAAAAAGATTAAAACCATTAAAAAGAAATTCATTTTTACACCGAATGAACATTTGTATGATTGCATTGGGACCAGTCATTTCCTAAACTACATATGGCCATCTTGACAGTGTTTTTTCTTTTGTGTGTTTAATTATTATATGTAAATCATAAAGACAAATAAATTTCACTGTGCCACCCAGCACATTTCGTTTCTGTATCTTTGTTAAAACTCATGACCTGGACTCTGCATTTTCCAAGCAAGAGACGTATATTAGATAGGACAGGCTAGATTATTCAGTGCTGACAACCCTCACCCTTCAGCGGCTTCACATAGTACAGGTTATTCCTCACTCTTGCTCCAGGCCCACCCCAGGTTGGCAGGGCACCCTGCTCCTGTCATCCACACCCAGGGACCCGCTGACAGGGCCTCAACCATCTGAGATATCTGTGGTCACCACAATCAGGAGAAGGGGAGCTGGAGAGTTTCATACTAGCTCCAGCCAGCAGTGACACATGTCTGGTTGGCCACAACCCAGTATTCAGAATTAGTCACATGGCCACTCCTAACTTCGAGGGAGTCAGGAAGAGGAGCATCACCACGTAGCTGGAGGGGAGAAAACAGGAAAAGCTGATGAGTTCACTAATGTCTGTCACAGAAGGTGTATTGTCTCTGGAAAGCTTCCATTCCTTTTTAAAAATGATATTTGTACCCTAGGTAATGCCTCAAAGTGTCATTTGTCTCTCCCCTGTGGAGCTCTTACAAATAATAAATTGTATAATTGGATATAAATTATAAGATTATAGAAAGTGATAAGTATGAAACATATTAAGATTATTTAAAAATGAAGAACTGAATTTACAATATATGCTTCAGCAGATCTATACTGGAGTCTAATGGGGACAGTTGTGTGAGTCGATCAACTGAAACACCCTGCCCCTTTTTCTTTTCCTAATTATTTTTCTTTTTACTAACCTGTCCGATACCTTGCCTGATTTGATGGAATCAAATGACTGATTTGCTGTCATCCAAGCAAAACCACCTACATGACATGGACAAGAAACCTATGAAGATGATTTCTCTTCAGTTTGCTAAACTAGAAAATGTATGCAAATTAATTCAATGAGGCCTGTTAACCACTCTTAATTCAGTCTCAAGAGTCCTCCTTTTAATATGTCAAATGTTCCAATCACATTGCAATTTCCTGCAGTTAGACTTTATACCCTATTATATCTATGTCTGTTTAAGTATATGTACACAAATACACACATATCTTTAAGAGAATTAACAGGAATGGGCATTGTTTTATTTTAGAGTCCTAGGAAATTCCAAAACATTTTAGGATGACCTACTTTAAAATTTTTCCTATATTCTTACTCTTTGCCCCTACCAGTCAAAGGAATTTAAGATATGTTTTGACGAATCACAAGCCATGAAAGAAATCTGGCTGGTCTCAGTGGCTCATGCCTGTAATCCCAGCACTTTGGGAGGCTGAGGCGGGCAGATCATGAGGTCAGGAGTTCGAGACCAGCCTGACTAATGTGGTGAAACCCCATCTCTACTAAAAATACAAAAATTAGCTGGGTGTGGTGGCGCACACCTGTAATCCCAGCTACTCAGGAGGCTGAGGCAGGAGAATCGCTTGAACCCAGGAGGCAGAGGTTGCAGTAAGGCAAGATCGTGCCATTGCACTCCAGCCTGGGCGACAGAACGAGACTGTCTCAAAAAAAAAGAAATCAAGTCTAGGTCAGGCTTAGTGGCTCACGCCTGTAATCCCAGCACTTTGGGAGGCTGAGGCCAGCGGATCACTTGAGGTCAAGAGTTCGAGACCAGCCTGGCCAACATGGTGAAACCCTGTCTCTACTAAAAGTACAAAAATTAGCTGAGCGTGGTAGCAGGTGCCTGTAATCCCAGCTACTTGGGAGGCTGAGGGAGGAGAATCGCTTGAACCCGGGAGGCAGAGGTTGCAGTGAGCCAAGATCACACCACTGCACTCCAGTCTGGGCAACAGAGTAAGGCTTTGTCTCAAAAAAAAAAAAAAAAACTTCAAGTCTAGTTAAGCCTTGATTAATCATGATGCTTAGGAAAGAGAGTTTTCTAGTTATTTTAATGAGTTTAAGAAGAAACCTATTTTAACCCTGGTTGCTGGGAACTTTCCAAAACTAGGTAAGTGTACTTTTCTGCACACACCATCCTTTAATAAATACAGTATCGTGAATGTAACTGAAGCTAGTGAGTCAGGGTTTCATCTTGCTGAAAAGCTAGTGTCATTGTATATATTGTCCTGTAGTTGATAAGTTTTTTCTTTGGTGTAATGAACTTAGATGACTCATTTCTACAGACTTACAATACACTTAGCTTATTTTAGCAGAAACAGTTTTATGTTCAAAGTAGGAGCTAATTTGACAAATAAACACTGGAGAAGAAAGTATATTCAAATGGATTTCAAAATAATAACACCTGTTATTCGGGGCACTTACTATATGCCAGACACTTCGATAAACAACCCTAAATACATTACTTACCTGCTGTTATATTTTTCCTCGGCTTATTTACTGAATCACCTCCCCAGTGTTCAAAATCACACTCTACTCACTGAAGGATGTGTAGTTCTGTAACAGAAATTATATAATACATTAATAAGATGTTTTTAACATAGTCACTGGAAATCTTTTCAAATTACTGATTAGCATTCAATAGGATTGCTATTTTCATTTCCTATCCTGTATGTTAAAGATTAATGATTAAAATAACTCCTGAAAATAATAATGACATTCTAAGTAGAATATCATTAAAGAAAAATAATTGGAGTTATGTCGCATTACTAAACCATTATTAGGCATAGGCATTTAATTAGATATTTCATCAAAATGCAATTTTGGAGTACCGGGTTTTTTTGATTTTTGTTTTTTGTGGCATGAAAGACTAGGAATCTGGAATATAATGAAAACTGTTTTTCTTTGCCGTTTGGGCAATGTGATGAGACCTGGACCCAAGGAAGTTTTACAGACCTTGGTTGGGCAGTCTCATGCCACTGAGTGGTGACTTCCAGGGAGTCAAGTCAGTTTTGCCCTGTTCCATACAAACAACCTTCAACCTCAGCCAACTACCTTCTACTTCCTTTTGGGGTCCTGGAAAGACTCTAAGAGGGAAAGCAGAGGACCAGCTCAATTCTTCACCAACCTTGGAAAAACAATTCCAACTTCATGCTCTTCTCACATTGGACCACATCATTAGCCAGACTCCTTGCTGCCACTTTCTTCACTTGATAAAGCTACCTAAGTAAAAATTAGGATTTTTAAATCCCTTTTTTGCTCACAGAATTTTGCCAAGTTGAGAATGAACTCTGTCTTCTGGCATTCAAGACCTGCAATAGGCCTCAATTGACGTTTATGACCTTATCTCTATTATTGTTTTATTTGAGCCCTTTCCGCCAACAAACTGAACTGCTTCCAAACTCTCTATATAATTATTTTATTTGTGGGTTGTACAGTTCCTGATGGCAGAGACTTAGTGTTTATCCATCTTGTTTCCCCACAATGCATGCCAGTATATTAGATATAATTTGGTCTTAAAGTTTCATTGAATGCTGTGAGCTCAAACAAAAAAAAAACTGTCATTAATCATACAGGCTGTCTTTCTCCTTGGCATCCACATAATCACCATAACAACAATAATCATTTTGTGAGCATCTACTAAGCCATGCACTTTTGATACACCATCTCAAACCTCCACAACAAGATGCATATTCCTTTTAGTGAAAAAGAAAGGGAGGACTGAAAAGAAAGAATTGGAGAGATTAAATGAAGTCACACTGCTAGTTAACGCCAGTAGCAGCCTTACACTCCCATCTGTCTCTAAAATCTTTGCATTTCCACTTGACCACATAGCCTAATAAACAGGAGGTCTGGCTTTAGAATGTTAGGGTTGCTGAGCCTGCTTGCTGATGGCTCTTCAGTTACAACTTAGGACCGTTGTTGACTGACTTTACCTCTTTCACATTTCAGTGAAATCTATATTTTCTGAAATGACATCCTTCCCACATGTAGAAAAAAGATGCAGGGTGCATGTAGTCAAGCTTCCAAGATGAGTTGTACAAGAAGACTTTTTTCTTTTATTATTTTAGGATATATGTGGCGTTCTTGTGCCTTGAAATCTATGTTTTGTTGTATATGATAATGTATTATATTCTTTCCCTTATCGGTACTTTTTTGATAATGATTGCTTTAGAGAAACATTAGTCAGCATGGTGGAAGGAGCCTGGCATCAGAAATTAAATGATCTGGGTTCAAATCTCAGTTGTTCTTTTGGACTTTTGTTGTCCTGGGCAAAAATTACCATTTAATCATTCTGTGTTTCAACATCTTCATCTGTAAGACAGCAATTAAGAAGATCAAATGTTCTAGGACATGTAAAATATTTAGCAAAGTTTTTGACATATGACATGTAAGTACTAAATTTTAAAAAAACTTTTAACCCTTTTTAGTTTAGTGCCATGTTTTTGCAAGAATGAAGAAGGGAGGGTTCTGTTCCTTGATAAGCAAACTGATTGTTACTTCTAAAGTGAATTAGAGTCACCTAGAACCCAATTAGGCCTTCTCTTAAGGGCCTGACCTACTCTCTGGTGGTGATTTGCACTGAGGAAAATCTATCATGCTCAAATTTTTAAAGTATTCTCCTTATATGCAGAGCAGAGAAAGTTGTATATCTTAGTCCATTTTGTGTTGCTATAATGGAATACTTGAGACTGGATAATTTATTGAATACCTGAGACTGTGTAATTTAAAGAAAAGAATTTTAGACATGGCACCCAAGGTGTCCGAATAGGAACAGCTCCAGCCTCCAGCTCCCAGCATGAGCGACACAGAAGACAGGTGATTTCTGCATTTTCAGCTGAGGTACCGGGTTCATCTCACTGGGGCATGTTGGACAGTTGGTGCTGGTCCGCGGGTGCAGCCCGACCAGCAAGAGTTGAAGCAGGGCGAGGCATCACCTCATCTGGGAAGTGCAAGGGGGAGGGGAATTCCTTTTCCTAGCCAAAGGAAATTGAGACACACAACACCTGGAAAATCAGGTAACTCCTACCCTAATACTGTGCTTTACAAAGGGTCTTAGCAAACGGTACACCAGGAGATTATATCCTACACCTGGCCTGGAGGGTCCCATGCCCACAGAGCCTCCCTCATTGCTAGCACAGCAGTCTG